GGCAAGTTTTTAAGTTATTAGTTAGGACATATAGGTGTAAAACGTGAACTCATTAAAACGAATATTTCTCATCTATACATCGGTGTTTTAATATGATAAGGAGTTTTGGGCGGTTCAAATAATAATGAGACCGAGTGCACACAAATAATATATGATCGACACTGAACTTTACAATTTTACACTGTCTCGCTTTCCTTGGTAGATACAACACTTCTAAAGTCACTACATTATTGTCAGTATCTGACCGATTAGGCACAATATTCAGTGAGGCAAAAATAATTAGTTCACATTTCAACAAGATAACGAGGTCATGTCATACCATTCCAGTCAATCACAGAATTCCTGAATTTGTGGGACTACATAATTACCTATAAAGATTTACCATGAGTTATGAAGAATATTGATTCAATGGCTAACGATTTGTAGACTAAGTATAAAATGTAGCCAACATGTAACATTTTTTCACATTAATGAAAAGGAAAGATCATTCTGAAAGAGTAAACAAAACATCTACACATAAAGATGAGTGTGGCATTTAAGTGAGAAAACAACTAAATATGTTTGTTTCGAATATATATATATATATATATATATATATATATATATATATATATATATATATATCATAATTTATAGACGTAAAGGGTAACATGTTTTTCATTCTCCTTTCAACCGATACTGTATAGGGATTTAAATGAGATGAATGAAAATGCACATGAATGTGTAAATAACAAAATATATCATTTCTTTGCTAACATAAATACATAGAATTTTTTTTGTGTGGTTAAAACAAAAACAGCGCGAACTAGAAATTCTATATAAACAGTAAAAAGGTTTATCCAATCTAAAATGTTGGTGATTCATTAAGGTTAGATTAGTGTAGATGAATGTAGTTCTAATATAGGCAAATGTTACGGCAGTTTTTCTGATGACAGTTTATTATCATTGGCACTTAGTAAACAGAATCTCTATGCAATATAAAGTATATTTCATAACCACTAGGCGAAGTGAACTCTACACTACTGAAACTAAGATTATAACAGGTGAATTAGCATTCAAGAAAACTATTCAGTTGATTAATAGGAACGAAAAGAAGTTCTAAGTGATGTGTGAAACTTTTAAAGTATTTCATATTGAAAGTATTTTATTATGAGGGGTTATAGAAATTTTTGAATTTTATTTCAATCACAGATCGACCATAGACAACTGTTGGACGTCTGGAAGCCATGAACATTCGTTGTGTCTTAGCATTGGGCTCCTGCATAGTGAGCATCCGAAACCCTCCATATTGTAAGTAAGAAACTGTGACCGTTGGAGCTAAACCGTATTTGATGTGAGACAGTTACCGACCGAATGCAATAGAAGATAGTCTCTCAATGTCTTGAACTGGTTAAAGTTGGACTTGTAAACATTTGATTCAATGTGAAATGGTCTGAATTATCCTGTTGTTGATATTTCCACTGAAATTTGACCAATCTTGGTTGGCAAATGGGCATTCTAGGAGGATTCCCCGACAGGACACAAGTTTATATAAAATAGATAGAATATGGCTGGCAGTTGAACCCAGGAAGCACGCTTTGTCCTATTTCAGACTTGTCACCTGAATGTATCTGCATCGCACAACTGATGTTCACTTCAGGACTTCAATCAAGTACTGTTCGCTTCAAACACCGTTGTGTTATCTACTTAATTAATGAGTCCGGATAGCCAATCATTTTTGCAACGGGTATGAGATTTAATTTAATTTGAAATGGTTTGAATTTTCCTGTTGATGATATTTGGCAAAGTGAACACCAACTTCCAGATGCATGTACATCCAGCTGACGATTCCCGAACAGGTCGAAACGCTGGCCATATTCGATTTATTTTATATAAACTTGTAAGCCTTTGGCTATTGGCTGAATGATTTAAAAGTTGGGCTACCATGCATCAGAGGTCCAGGGTTTGATTCGCAAATGCGGGTTTATGGATGTTCGTCACTGCTTGAAATTCTCGTACGAGTACGAGACGGATGTTAACTACTTTTAGGTTTTCTATGATGATGGTCTAACACTGATCGATTCTTGATTTCAATCAAAATTTATCATCGAATTCACCATTTCATTGGTCACGGCTTCTAAATAGGATTTCAAGAATTACTCTCGAAACCACTTACATATGAATTACTGATAATGAACAGTGTGACTACCGGATGAGAAAATGAAATGTTGTCATTCAAATTAAGCTGACTTCTTTTTAGAATGTTAACCATGATTTAGTAATTAAACTATACAATCCGTGCTACATAAGAAAAATTAAAATACACAAAATGAATGCTCAGGGTAAAAATAGCCTGATAGATTTAAATCTGCAAAGAAGCATTCGTTTATTACACGCGGTACGCAAGTCTTCTCAACAAGAATCGAAATGCAGGAATTTGAAGCTCACTTTCCTTCATCAAAGTACTTCAGTCAATGACTATTAAATGTTTCAAGCCATATAGTCCTATATTTAAATTAAATTTTATGGTTTTAGATCACTAACTATCTTCAATAAGCCAGTTAGACTGGATAGCTAATATTGGCCTCATTAGTAATGAGTATCCACAGCCATAGTTAATATCCTAGGACTTACAGCTCTAGTAGTGCGCGCTGAAGATGTAGACCACTGGAATGGGATCCAATGACTTATGTTCTAACTTCAGTGCCTTCATCGTTTTATAACTAAGGTGAGCCTGCTATGTAAAACAAAAAAAACTCAATAATCTTCATAAACTCTGATACCCAAAAATTATTCAAGTTCTTATCATTCCATTAACATTAGTGTGTATACACTGGGACTCTGAATAATGTCAAACAAAGTGGTTCTTACACAAATTGTCTTCCAACTGACAATATAAACGAATAATTTGTTGCAGGAATTTAATGCCATTTAACTCTCTAGGCTGAGTTTTTCATTTTATTTTGGCTTATATTTTTTTCGAATGATCACAAATAAAAATATTTACCAGATTCCTTTAGGCTAAATGATAGGTCTCGGTAATAGCTAATCTACTGAATAACACTCTTACATATGTAGGATTGAGTGTTACATTCACGTTTCGATAAAGAAACCATCATTGGGATGTAGATAACCTGTGGATGATGTAGGGGGATTCGAAAATGAACTTACACAGTTGTCTTATTGTGTAATAAATCAATGGCAAAATGATATTTCACTAGATGAATCAAGTTGTTCTTAAATTAGTCACTTTAAATCGCATCTAACTCATAAATCTAAAATTTCAATGATATTTGGCTTACTCGGAATTGTAGGAGCGTTACTTTGGAATTCATCAAAAGTTAAAATTATTTACATAATCTTATCAACAAGATGAAACTACCATCTTTACATGCACAGATACTATGGAAGTATTCGATTCTCCTAAAAAGAAATACCCCATGCAAAATTACCTTTTGGTAAAATGTCAAATTCTTGATGAGTTCAACTTGATATGTAATATATGGACGCAAGTGAATTGGATAAATTGTTTCCGTTATATGCCTAAAATAGCATCTTTGCCTGATGACGTGAAAATAACACCATATGCATGTAATGATTTGAAGAATTTGTAATTAGTGTTTATTTTTTTAACTGGCAACAAGATTTTGAACAGGTTAAATGCGAATTCCATAAAATACATTTTGATCGTATTCACAACTTGTCATCTAATTGAGTAGTTTACCTCAATATGTTGACGCTACGATTCAAATCTAGAAATCATTCTTTTAAACCTCTGAATTTTATTCAATAGATCATTTAACTACGATATTGATTTATTCTCAAATATTCTTTGCATACAAATAACTACAGCCTGTGAATAGAAGACTAGAAATGAGAGTTTAATATATCACCTTTTGACAGGAACAATTTCAGAATGTTCATATCAGAAAATATCTAATGCTTAGCTTGAAAGTAAATAAACCTTTTAGTTTGACTCAAACTATAAAGTATAATCGGAACCTGTTACTACATTGCGACAACAATGAAAACAAAAATTCAATCCATATTTGTTTACGAAGTGTAAGACTTACAACCAAATGAGCAATCAATATACAGAAATAATGATCAATAGTCAGCCATCGCAAAAATTATTTCTGAATATTATTTTCAATAAAAATTTCACAATATTATCTCCTCAGTGTTGATATTTAGTTGATTTTCATTTTAATGCATACTCTGTTACGATTAACAATGAGTTCAATTAGCTAAGAACTTTTAGTAAACACATTACAAGGTATCATGATTTGGTGATCGGTTATTCAAGGTTAACTGTCAATATTGTGTGTCGAATATCTGAGCAATATGATTCATTTCCTTAAATTATACAGAATTAATGTTTAAGATGTGTTCAAAGCCAAACCAGTTTTTATTGGTAAAACAACTAGACAAAACTAAAAGATCTATGACTGATAAAGGGTCTCTTCTTGTATGTTGGTTAAATTTAGAAATATGTGTACATTGGATTCCGATCAAGTAATCCGAATGGTATCTTACTTGAAGTTCCTAATTTTACCAGTACTCTCGAGTAAGAGGTCTTAAACTAGAACCTCTGGTTATCTGTTTGATATTTTGGTTTATATCACACTAATGACACAAAATCTTTCATAATCACATTATACTCTGAGTTGGTCTGAATCTGTGGTATTTCGATTATATCTAGTTGTTTTATTCATCTGCACAAAACCAAATATAATACATCATAACTTAATGTCTGTCTTATTCATTTTCTGTCACTGTCCAAATAAATTACGGGTAAAGTCTTAGAACCGAATTCAAAGATTTTCACTATCCTTGAATATTGAGATAGTACACTAACTGTCATTTACTGATCAATAATTCATAACCAATCAACCAATTTTGTAACATTTCAACAGCATCTATGTAAGAATACAATACATATTGTTCGAATGTCTTACATTTAACCTTAGAAAATGCCTAACTACATAAATTTAAATTATTTTATTCTTTTCATTTCACAGAATTATTTGCTGTAAATATTAATGGAGCTAATACATATTCCAGTTCAAATGTACCAGGTAGTTTGTCGGAATATTCAATTGATGACGATTTTATGCACATTCAACCAACATGCTTTCAAACTGATCCTGCACAACCTGATTTAAACGGTTATCATTGGTTAATGATTGATTTCGGTATTAATTTACGCCATATAAAAGAAATACGACTTGCTCCGAATCCATTTCATAAATATTTCGGTAAATTAAACGACTATTATTGTATATATTTAATGAATTTCATTGTTTTATTTGTTAGGATTATTTAAATCAGCCTATGACTGGATTTCATTATTGTATGATCAAGCTTTAATTCGTTTATTTTTGGGATATAGAGCACTCAGCTGACATGTCTGAATACTAACACAGTTAATGCTACAGGTCTCCACATCTCTCAATGATTTTTCTCCAAAATGTGTAAAATTCTTCAGAAAATCATTCGAGTAAATATATTTATTACTGAAAATATCTCACTTCATGGATTAACATGAAGTGGGCGACTATTGAAGCCCAGCAAACATTAAAGAGACTATTTCGTTCTAGTTTAAGTTTCTCTACCGATGGCCACCTGAGAAATGCAAGTCTGTGGTCGATCTGGATTCATTTATTCAAATTTCCAACTTTAGTCACTCAACATTGTAGCCGGAAAGTTATCCATCTGTCTCATTCTAAAATAATCGTTAAAATTTCGAAAATTCTTCTGAAATCCAGTCAATCCTCTTGGATTTCAAATAAATATCAATATACATACTACTCATATGCAAGAAGTTCCAATAGTTTTGTACTAATCACATGACTTACATGAAGCATTCAATTTAAGCGATTATACAAATCAGTGCAGTCATTCAATTTAAAAATATTATCCGATTAGTGATATAGGGAAAACATTCACAGCATGTAACTTCACTAATCACTAATGATGATAAGCTTGTTTAGAATATTGAATGTGTAGTGGAAATTTTTGAAAGTTTATTTTCATAGGTAAACGTTTCAAAAATGAATTTCTCTATTCTATTATTTCCACTGAAACAAAACTAATGATTGTATGTTTTAGATGGATAGTTACTTGAATACATCTATCTGTTTGTTATTTACTAAGTTACTTGAATACAAACAGTATATACTGGTGTTCAAAGTCTGTAGACCACCCAATTGTAATTTTTATATTCGATAATTATGTTGTAAAAATACGTAGATTCAAACTACAAAATCGAATTAACAAAACAGAACTTGACACTGAATTTCAGACACTGTGATTACGTTATCTTAGAAATTTAATTAATTAATTTCTTACAATGTCTACTAAGGTAGTGTTAATCCTACTAAGACATAAGCGATTGAACATCTATTGTTTCTGATCAAATTTACCGGGAAAATGTAAGATATGATGTGATTCGTGTGATTTTATGATAGGTACGAAAAAAACTGTGATAATGTTAGGTTAGAACCAGTTGAATTCTACAGTTATTCAGTTGATAACAGAATTTACGAAGCTTAACAATCGTAACCAATTAGATTTAAGAAATACCAATGAAAACATGCCTACTTCCATGCGTTTACTACCTTCTGTACAGATATTTCGGTATTAACATATAATTTGAGCCCCCGGTACACCTAATAATTGCAATCAACGAGTAAGGGGATTTTAAGTGACAATGGATGTCGTTAGCAGTAGATTAGATGTATTCGTTACTTATGTATTCATTCTTAATCTATCAATTATTGCTCACGAACTTAATTATTCGTGCTCATCACCTTTTTTTGCAATTGATGATATTAATTGACACATTCGACTTTTCTCGCGTCAATGACTTAACATTAATATATGTGCAAATTGTAACAGTCTTTACGAACCCTCTACGATGATAATAATCAAGCATTCGCTGGTTTCGGCCTCTAGTGAGAAGCCATGATCAGTAGATTTCAGCCATGTTGAATGTTTGATAGTTACCCAGCAATGAAAATGAATATTGGTTGTATAATATGGCAAGTTGGCTGAATTCAGATATATATATATATATATATATATATATATATATATATATATATATATATATTCTATATATAAACCATCTGATTCCAGTTAGTCGATTTAAAGGTTAAGTGCTCTCTACTAAAGCTTAAAGTTTAGGGTTTGATCACCAGCGACTTCATGGATGTTTATTAGTGAGTAATACCATATTAAACTTAAATAGCTACCCAAGGCCTCCGGGTTTTCAATAGTTTGCCTAATTTAGATTAACTAGTGACGTAAACGTTAAACAGTAATAATCTTCACAAACTCTTCATAGTAATCAAATGATTGTGTTGATGTGAAATGCTATCTATAACTTGGACTAATAAAACGATAACCGGCGCTAATACAGCAAAATGTTGTTTTGAAAGTAAAATCAAATCTCAAACCTTTTGAAGTTATTCTATTCTTCAAAAGTCATAAAAATGTAGTGATTATTTCCTTATTATACGTTACATGACTTAACTTCTTCATGACATTTTCACAGACAATAAGTTATTTATTTACTTTAGAACAAAATCATTTTTTCAACGAATTTTCAGGCATATTCGAAAAATATATGCATGTATGAAAAGAGATGATATCTTCATTGCTTTGAAGATCTGGAATTTTTTTTCTGAATATCATTGCCATTTTCTTGCTTCTATACAGAATGCATTAAACATTATTACAATTTCCCTAGTGATCAGGTACAGACAATAAAAAAAGTAATAACTTTTTGCTGAGAGAAGAAATAATACAGAAAGAATAGTGATGAAATGGTAAATTCTTTTATCTAGTGAAAAATATGCATGAAATAAGAACAATCATTGTTGAAAATCAAATTGACTTCATTCAATTCATACATTCTAAATTTTTTCTTCAACTATTTACTGATAACTATTTTCCAAACAGTAAATATGCCGCCTTTATTACTTGTTTTCATTAATAGATAAGTTTTCATGTATGAAAATTAATCAAACAGACCACAAATTTTGAAACGTTATTGATAAAAACAATGTTTATTATCAATAATATTAACTGAGTTAAAAGGTCCAGTTTATAGAAAGCAGATTTGTAGTCAATAAATGAACACAATAAAAATGTCATCAGTGTACCCGATTTATAATGTTTCACTAACTAACAGATTCATATTTATCTGTTCATATGGGCATTGTTCAATCATCTTCAGTATTTTCTTACAGTAATTTTCTTTTCATGATTGATAAGTTGATATCACCAAAGTTGTAGAGAATAGTTTCGTTTATCTGTCTATCTATTTCAAGTTGTGTTTAGTCTAATATTATGTTAAGCAATGTCATTCTTTTATTTTGCATGCATATTTTATTTTCAAAGCTACAAAACTCTCAAATATTGATGTGTTTTTGATAAAAAGTGGAGAATCATTGGAAACTGATGAAATGTTAGCATCACTTAGACAAACAAACCACAAAACACCAAATCATCTTATAAAATGGAATTCAAAAGGCATCGAATTATGTCAATCAACAGGTAATATTACAGCTGGTACTCGTGCTGCTACAATAGAATGTCCTCAAGAAATGGATGCCAAGTGGTTAGCATTACGTAGAACAGATGAACTAGAAATTTGCCTGGTCAATGTTTACGTAAAGAAAGGTGGGTTAAAAAAGAATCTGTGGTTATTTTATTAGCAGTGATTCGATTTCTCCATGCATAAATTGTATTAGCTTATCACTGATTTGTAAACAATGTCATACCTGATCGAATTTCATCTATCAAGTGATAGTATGGCCATTAGTCCTAGCAGGTTTCAGACGCACCATTACTAATGAATGCAAGTAAACATGAAACTGAGTTCCAGGGTTTCTTGAAGACCTACTTAAACCATCTAGCATAAGTTAACTATCTCTTAAAATCATATTTGGTCTTGCATTTTATTCTACCTACAATATGAATTACAATTTGTATATGTGAACAGTGTTAATCTGATTGATAAGAGATACTTATAATCAAGAGCAGGTCTTACTTGAAAAGACAGACTTAACAATCTAAACAACTATAACATTGCCCGTCATGGGAGTAGGGAAGAAAAAGAGTAAACTTTACAACAAGACACAGTATATATGATATTATACAAAGTAAGGCAGCCAATAAGGAAGAACGGTTAGTTACATTACGCAGTGAGAGACATGTCCACAACATCGTAGCTAAGAGTCTTAAATTTCTTAGTGAATACGATGCTATTCGGATCTTCAATTAGTGGCTCAGTTTCATACACTAATGATAAATACTATATCTGAAGTTGACTATACTGTACAAGCTATCCAAACATGAAATAGCCAATTATCTTCGCGAAGATTTATAAGTCTAAATAAAATATTCTTCAATATATATTAGATTAACAAAAACAAATTGTTTAAGAAATAAGTTAAAAATGAAAACGGACTATTATTTAATGTACCCTTCAATTACTTTGTTTTATTTGAATATTTTTTGATCAATACTTATTTATTAAATGTTTTGTACATAAAGTTACTTACTTAATAACAACAGAGCAAAGGCCTCTGACCAGCATTCTTCTGACTACTCTGTCCTGAGCGTTCCTTTCCAGTTCTATCCGATTGAAGTTCATTTTTTTCATATCTGTCTCCATTCCTCGGCGAAGTGTGTTCTTTGGTCTACCACTTTTCTTTTGGCCTTGAAGATTCCAACTTTGGTCTTGCCTTTTGACACAGTTGGATGCTTTCCTCATTGTGTGTCCTATCAACCTCCATAAGTTCTTCCTCTGCTGGAATCCGGTATGTTCTCTCCTATACTAGGCTGTTTCTGGTGGTGTCTGGTCAACACATAAAGTAACTCAGCTAATATAAAAATATACTATAATGAAATTAAAGTTTACCATAATAGTATATCAAATTTTCCAAATTTTCTGGGGAAAAAAAGTCTTCCCGATAACTTTATTTCCAATATGATGATTGGAGTTGGAGGTTTTAATCAACGGGAAGAAAGATTTTTCAGAAGTTTCTTTCTTCTTTAATAATAATTAGATTGTTTACTCTGATACTAATGGTATACAGTAAGGAAATATGAATTGAATTGTGCTAAAACAGTGATCAATTAACATGATCAACATTAACAATAACGATATATCATATTAATGTAGACAATTCTTTCATGTTAACTATTCCTACAGTATCACACAGTCTGTCAGTCCCTCAGACAGTCACTTACAACATAGAACTTCCTATTAAGTACATAGGTTCAGGTTGCCATACTACATTACCAAGGTAGTGGAGATAGTAGAAGGATTAGCGGTATTGTAGAAGATTAGAGAGCAAAGATATGATTCGAGATGTATAATTCAGTGAGATAAATTTAGAAAGAGAAAGACAGAAATGATAAGGAATTTAGAAGGGTAGGATTTCAGTGAGCACAAAGAGTGGATGCACCTGCGCCATTGCAAACGATTTTAAGCCATGTCGTCTCGAGGACCCCAACCAGGTAGCCTACATCTACCAACATCACTTAGTCCACTTGTCAATGACTTCATGGATTTCTGCCATGTTTTGGTCTGGCCTCCCCTAGCTTTCTTCCGACCTATTCCTACACAATAAAACATAGGTTGTCGAGGCACTCGGTGGTTAGGTATACGTAACACATGTCTCAACCACCTCAGCTGATGAAGTTCCACTACTTCATCTATTATAGCAAATCATACATTTTGAAGTTGAGTCATAAACAGTAATATTCATAATCCTTTATTTGTTCAATCAGAGCGGATAATATATATATTTCAACAAAATGTACTATTCGCTAAAAATCATATAAATCGCCATCAAAAGCATTATTTATTCTACTTCATTTGAAAAGTAGAGTCATGTATAGATTTATTCAAGCTATTGTTGATGCTAGTTACTTATTGACATCAGTTGATGTACTATCGTGAATCATGGAGCACTATACAGTCTTTTACTTCTAGCACAGAACTCTTCAGCGGTACATGTACTTGATTTGAATTGATTTTCCTGTGATATGTTGATATCCGATTGGATTGTATGCAATGCAATGCACAAATTTGTTATATTTCATACCAGTCTCCATTGTTTTAAATTGTGAAGTCAACACAGATATATCTATAAAAGCTGTAAACAATTGTCAGAAAGCATTAGAAACTAATCAATGCCTTCGAATAACTGATGAAATGCTGAAATAAACCAATAGAGTGAAACGACAATTGTATTTAGATTGAAAGAGATTGAAAGTAATTAGCATTTAATTGCTAATTAATTCGTCTGAACAACCTTGAATACAAGAACATATTGAGTTGACTAAAATATCTAACACTCAACACATACAGTTAGAAATAAATTTTCACTGATAAAAACTCAAGTGGAAAAAGTTTTATAAATTTTAAATCTTAATAAATCAACATAAATTCTGATGTTGAACAAAGTTTTATTTTGTAATACTTTAGCTCATGAAGAGTGCTTTATACAGTATACAACAGAAGAACAACAAATATGGCCTAGTATTTCAGGTCAACCATTTAGTTTTATACGGCATTTATCAAAATCTGCCTGTCGTGCTGGATGTTCAGCCAATAGGAATTGTCAAGCTATACGCTATAAGAAAATGAGACATACTGGAGTCTGTGAACAAATACGTGATGTTGTACTTTCAGAAGATCATACTAATGTTTCACAAGATTCTTCATTAAACTGCGAGTCAGAGAATTGCATGATTGTATTAAACAAGTGTCATTTGGGTAAGTCGGCCAATCGATGTTTATAATTAAATATGCCTAAATATAGTATCAGGGTGAACATAATTAGAAGTATGCGCTAACAAAATAAATTAGCCCAACTATAGAATATCTTTCTACCGAGAACTGGTTTTATTAAAAAAAATTTTCAATGTACAATGAAATATTTCCAGAAATATAATGTTTTATTTTATTGAATCAAATATACATTCAGTTACTTTGTTCATTTATCGTTGTATTGCGAAATTCTTTTGAAATTGTAATTCACTCTAGATAGCATTTCTATTATTGTTTTTCTCGACACTCAGGCAGGCTAGAAGAATTACATCAAGTTAGACAATTGCATGAAAATAACACTTTAACAACAATTTCTAATCTAGACAATGAGAACAGTGATTTACAGAGTGAAAACAAATTCTCACTGTGGGAAATTCAACCAAATGCACCAAAAGCTGACCACCAATCAAACGAATTGAAATCGGAATTCTTATTTTCTATTCAAATGGATGGTTATTTATATTGTAGTAAAGCTGTTTGTGGTATGTGTTTTGATTTACCGATTGTTAAAACATGTTGTTCTGTGATAAATTTCACGCATGAAAAAGACGACTAATTTTTTAACCCGAACTTATATAACAAATGACTGTTCATATTCCACTCCAACTACTAGTGTTTGAAGAATTAACCGATATCACTAACCCTCGAAATAGAGCTATATAAACTTGTTTTTAGTTGTATTCTGTTCTCTATACCGGTGCTATTATACACAATGATAATGAAAGCTTTTCAATTAAGATATCTAGTTGGCGGAACATGATTAGATTACATCTTCTTAGGTCAATAATCCTCTTCATCACATAAATCACTACATGAAAAATGAATTGTGATTGAACTTAATCAAACTTCCGTCTTGTCATAATTTGTTTTAACTAGTCTTATCTTGTTTATTTCATGCTGATAAATACGTTAACCTTTTCCATCAAACTTCCTTAAGAATTTTAAATGAAAAATAATCGGATACTTTGTGATTATCACTTGTTGTAAATGTTATCGAATGGGATTGATCAGTTTCTTTTCTTTGAATTCTGATGCCAGCCATTACCGTTTGTGACTTAATTGTACTATCAAAATCATCTGTTCGAAATGCAAATTTACTAAAAGAGACTAATACAAATGCAATCATTTGCATCAACAACGAGTGAAATCAACTTACAACCCAGCTAATCAAACCAGTGGTTATACGGGCTCCTTTGCTGAGTAGATAGTACGTTGGGATTTGAAGCAGAAATGTACCGGGTTCTAGTCTCAAACTAAACATCAGCATCGGGATGAAAGTGTATCTGGTTGACGAATCTTAAATTAAATGAAACTCGAGTTCTAGACTTCGGTCATAGTCACCAACAAAACTTTGCTTAAAAAATTCTACTGTTTCCCTTAAGTAATTTTACTAACTAAATGTAGTGCATTTATAGCTTATCAAATTTACTGTGATCATAATCATTTCAGGAAAAACTGAAAATCAAGGTTTAGAGCTGAGACAAATATGCTTTTGTTGAAACGAAGGATCAAGTCATCTGTTAACACGTACAACCCAACAAAGGTCATTATTCTGGGCAGAACAAGGTTCATACCTTATCGAAAACCTAAACGGCTTGTGAACGATTGAGTTATTTTACACTTTGTTTATAAATTTACAGGTGTCAGTGTAGCCATATGTATACATACGAAGGAGTGGCAGCGGTCTGCAAATCCGGGTATCTGAACATCTACACACAACCACATAAAATAACAGCAGATAATAAATATCCATCGTCTTTTATTGCTAAACACAGTTGAAACAGGTCATAGGGTTGATCTTAACTTTATGATTAAGAAAGAATATAGTGCCATAAAGTAAGATCAAAAGTTGCCAAGTTGAGATTTCCGACTAAACTATTCATTCCGTCTAAAAGTTAAACATGTTATTCTTTACAAGTTGCCTTAGCGTGTTATCTCACAAATGACCAACTGAATTTTGTTAATAATGAATAGAAAAGATTAAGGCTGTAAGACTGATTAACTCTTGAATATTAAGTTATGAATAACAGGGTACAAGATGTTCTGAGATTAAGTTTGTTATTGATAGTCACATATCAGCAAGATATGCTTTTTAATTTACATGAAACTTATACTTCTTCCTTTGATATTTGAATTCATGTTTTCTAACAATGATATCAAATATTGGGAATGGTTACTAATGGTTACTAAAATTCATGAATACATTTTGATTAATCTTCCAATCACTTCTCAGTGTTTCGTATAGACACAGACTTTCAGTCACATGTTTTAGTATATCTGGTATTGTAGATAGCAGTGAACTCTGGAATGTTGATTGTCTTATCCGGAACTAATTACCTTCATTTTGGTCTTCACGTTTATACTAAAACTCGAACCTAATACGTGTCGCATTTAATTACAACGTGTTATCCACTGAGCTGCTTAATCACGATAGTCACTGGCTTACTCAAAAGTTAAGTTAGTGCAGTTTGTAAACCAATACTAGGATCCAGATACATAGAATTGTAAAGTCGCAAAGAGGACGAAACGCACATTCAACTGTTAGTCACAATCCGAATAGGATCAAATAATTTAACATTAGTCTATTCGAGTTGATGTCACTTTTGATCACAAATGTAAAGCCTTAATGGAAATAAAAGCTCCAACAAGCTAAAGATTTCAGGTTATAATTTCACCGTAATATAAACCAAACATACTATAACAGAACATCAAAACCTAGTGTAATGGTCCATGATTGCTCTTTAAACGTCCATCTGCAGATCTTAAGTGTCATTGAATACGTTATTTGAACCATTTTCTTACTCACTTTCGACAATATTATGATTTATTTCATTTGTTATCTTTCTTTCCTTTGGTCATTTTATGATCAACAGATACATTGAAAGTTTATTCAGTGGATGAGAATAATGAAGCAATTCTTTGTGGCGAAATTGATTCACTTATTGTGTCTAATTTAAACAAATACTATTTGTTCTGTCAAAATCATTATCCAATGGATAAAACGAAATTTATTCGTTTAGAATGGAGTAATATGGGTAGAGAAAAGGCTGGTTATTTACATGTGAATATTACACAAATATTCGTTAGAATAACCCAAAATATGAAATTATTGAATATGAATTTAAATGTGAATAATATTCCGACGACAACTTATCCAACTACAACTGTTACAAAAAATACAGAGTTTATTAGTGAACAACAGTCTGGTAAACATTTTGTAGAGGTAAAAGAAGATGAAGTAAACGAACAGCACACAACTCAACAATACCAAGATCAATTCAATGAGTTGAAAAATGAGAAGGAAGAAGAAGAGGAGGAAAAGGCAGAGCACAATGTACAAGAAGTAGAACTACTTCAACAATACTATCAGCATGAAAAGGGAGAGTTAGAAGGCAAGAGAAAAGGCGAAAAAACAAAAGCACTACATCATCAAGGTGCATTTAGTGGCGAAGAAGAACAATATACTGAAGTAAACGAAACCAACACTCTTAATGATAGCCTAGAAGAAAATAGTCATTCAACCGACTGGTTGAACACGAATACTGGTTTCACAGACGATGAAGAAGGTGAATATGACATATCGACACTGGAATCATTTGATGGTAAAACTGTAGAAGACGACCTAACATGCAAGTCGTTTTATTTAAATTGTAGTTTAAGGAATATATTTATCAGGAACTGAGATCAACTAAAGAGCTTTTGGATATCAATCGTAATTAGGATGTTTGGGATTAAGTATTTGAAGGTAGTCTGAAAGAGACCCTGAGCCTAGATTACATCCTCGTTGGGATTCATTATCATGAGGTACTCATTATCTTGGCGAAACCAATGTACTATGTGAGATCTGCAGGTGAGTCACTCAGTCTCAAAGTCTGAGACACTACCTCTAGATTGTTCGGTAGTTAACGATTGATCACTGGTTAGTGATCAACTTATGCCGTGCTCTCCTAATCACTAGTGCTAATTGAATTATATCAATCATCAGACGTGTTTATAACTGATTAGTTGTGTACTGATTTCACATGTTTAATACATTCTGTACCAAGAAAATAATTAAATGAGTTTGAAAGCTTCCCTCATCCTTAACAATGAGGAAGACACTTTAATACAACTTCCGCCCTTTCCTTACTTGAAATAAATCTGTATGTTAGTTGAATAGACTGTGAAGTTACGCAACTAAGATTAGAACAACCACCATTAGAATACTGATAAAGGTAAATTAGTTTGCGTGTTGTGTAGCTTTGATCATTAGTAACAAATAAGATAGAAATACCCATCTGATAAATATACATGTAATTTTATAACTGATACATTGGTACATTCCGTATTGTCATAATGGATGCGACTATAAATTAAACTTTATGTAATCAGATACATGATTCTATATTCCAATCTGAATTTAGAAGCTCATTGTCAATTACATTTTTTTAATATTCAGTGTAAATTAAAACACATTCAAAGTTCAATATCACAGCTGCTTTAAACTCACACTTGATATTTTATGACTAGTTTTGATAGCTAGATAATAACAGTAAACGGTTGTGATTAGTGCAACATAAATCTAATAATCTGTTACTTATATATTGTAATCTTCACTATGAAATGATATCAAATAAACTAATCAAGCTGATCCGTAGCTGGTCAAGGATTATAGATAAACTTATCCGACTGTAGTAAATATGACAGACCATCTTATATTGTAAAATTCACTACAATTTCATTCCACCTACGACTCTACTTGCTGTTTTTACTTCTGTTAATAAACTCATGTTCAGGTCTATATCTGGTTCCTGATCTAATGGTCATATTACCGGAAGGCTGTGTTTTATGTGATCAGTTGTTGAGATCTATTGTATAGTGCTTGCTAGTAAGTGATCAACTCAAGTATTTTTTTCTTTCTAGCGGAACCTATGAAACTAACTTAACAATAAGCATCTAGGTTTGGGGAATAACTACTCAAATCATATATTGACAATTCAGTGGACATGCTGAGTCAAAATGAGTGGTCCATTTGAAAGATCGCTAACCTTCTTGTACTCAATGTCAGTCACACAATGTCGTGAATTGACTCAAGTTAAAAATTTGAACTCATGAATTCCAATTTGGTACTCTTAAATGCCATGTTTTCAACCAGACATGATATTTCTGAGTTAGAATCCGCATTATCTTCTTAGTGAATACTGTTGAGAAATCTTTAGCTGGGATGTAACAGCTATTTTATTTGTGGTAATGTTTTAGCACTCGATAACATTAGCTAGAGAAATTGCTACTGAGTGCTGACAGGTTTTGAAATGGTCTGTTCGTGGTTAAAACCAACTTTTAATTGAACAAACCACACGAACTTCGTGCTCTAATAATGGAAAAACTACCCATAAGATATTCTCAGTTAATTAATACTGAAATGAACACAATCTTTAAATCTGATTTCAATGTGTATGTTTATATCAAATAAATAAATATGAAGCTTTTTATTTCTAAAAATATTATTCTAGATGCAACAGAAAATGAATCGGATGTAAAAATAACAAATATTAATGAAGAGCATCACATATCCCCTGAACAAAATCACTTAGGCGACATAACCACTGAACCATATGATGTTGTAGAACATACTGAAACCATTGATCGTATGGTTACCAATTCATGGGCTCTGCAGTCAGAGTCACGTAAAGATTTTGACAAGAATGAAAAAACATATCAACAGAAAAACACGATTTCCACAAAGCTAGGTGTACGTGAAGCGAGAAGAGAAAAAGAACATAACAGTGTACGACTGACTGAACAGCAGCGTCATAATTTAGAAAAGAAATCATTGCAAACCGCTCGGGTTGATGAGAATCCAGAAAATAAATGCTCGCTGTTACATGGTCCTGCATCTGCTTTGGTTTTTCTAATTACTTTTTTCATATTTCAAGAGATTTGGTGAACTTTTTGTGAGGAAAGTGAAATGAAGTTACATTGTTTCAGAATGGAATTCGAGAATGTTTGATGTGTGACATTTTCAGATTAAAATGAGGTTGTCTGTATTATTTTGTTTGATTGAAGGAAAATAATTATGTTTGTCGATAGGTCACTTTATTATTCTGTAAGGTAACTTTTCATGAAACTTTTCTTTATTAAGAGCTGACCCATTCTCTTCTTATAATGGGCCTATATTCATTATTTCATTTTGCAAGATTTCAAAATTAATCAGGAATTTAATTGCAGTAGGCTGAATCAGTTGTTCTTTCTTATTCTTGATTACTAAAGACAAGGATTTAAGTCATTTTCACAAATAATGGTTAACTAATTTTAGCTTATATATTTGTTTTTCCATGCTGCCATTGATCTCAATTAAATGAATATCAGGTTTTGTGTGAAGGACAATTGTTTCGAATGTCTTTTCTCTTCGTTTAGCAAATTACTTAAAAACTTAACTTGAACTTTTTTGATATTACCGTTTTATTTATATACACTAAAGTGATTAAAACACAAAGTGTATCTTTATTTGTGTGTTTTCTAAACAGCCATTGTGAATATCACTTATATCTACGGATGCTTAAAAATCTTACTTTTTCCTTTTGCTTGACAAGTTGGGAATTATTACATCGAGTATCAGATTTAAATAACACTACTATGCTAATTAAACACTAAATACCAGTAGTCAGAAAACTTCACAGTATAGAGGTGTTCAGGGTCGAGTAACCATTCAGACATCCAACAAGAGGTAGGAAATCATAAAAACATGTTATTTTTAACGATTCCATCAGTAAGTTATGACAATTTCAACTGCAGATAGTTTTTTCAGTCATAACATAGCACATACGTTTTGATGGAAACAAATGGGTTTCATGTGTGTAGTTCACGAGTTGCGAAATATGAGGAAATTTTGTTAGATTCTACATTAGGAAAGCATTACAAGAACAGATTTAATACTTTGTGAAAAAATTTCTTGGGATTTGCAGAACATGTAAACGCTTTGTGTCTTATATATGCTAAGATATACGCTTAATGTGTATTGTATAATTGTAATTGCCTATTTACCGTGTTTTGTTGTAAGCTGCTATCAATAACCGTTAGTATATTGTTTATAAGTTGGCAAATATAATTTAGAGAATTTAGTGCTGCTCACCTGTCTTTTCACTCAGTGTCCTTACAATTGAAAGCTTCAACTCTCTGAAATAATCTTTGTAACATAAAATATCGAATGTCTTTGTCACAACATGGAATAAACGAATTGATTTCTTTACACTCGCTTCTTGTTTTCTTCTGTACAGTTTCAGTTGACGAAATTTGTATCCGTTCAAGCATATTATAAGTGAGCAAAAAAAGGATTTCTTCTCCTTCTCAGTAGATTCAACCAGCTGGCTTTAGATAACCCTAGTGTGACTGTAAAACTCCCAGTGGTTTCTTGATTTGTTAAGCATCAAATATTTCCTTTAGGTCTAAGGAAACTTTAAACCGTTCCACATATTTTATTTGACAAAGACAAGGACGCCTTGGACACCAAGGTAGTACTAAAACTAAGATTCGAATGTTACGGTAAAATCTGTTTTTTAAGGTTGTCGAATCGAATACCAGTGGATGATGGACGATCATGTACTAATTTATATTGCATAACAAGTGATGCTTTTGGGAATTAGCTGTGACGATTATGGTGGCTTTTTTGGATCAGTTTCAATAAATATATGCAGACTGAAAAGTGAAAACAGTTGCTTGAATTGTAAGCAACATTTTCTTGCCTACCAAAAATACACACCGTTGAATACTATACTCACTGGTGCATTTTAAGTAGCACTCTCATTGTCTTATGACTGTGTTAGAGACAAGTGTAGAATTCTTTTTGAATGTTTTGTTTTTTGGAAAATCCTTCCCTGTTTACATATTTTTGCTATGACATGACGGACTTTTTCTGTTGACATTTTTGGTATTTTATTTGATTCCAATTTGAGATTTTATCATTGTATATTGTTATTCTTTCTATATTTTGTACTTATATTGAAGTTTTTGTGTTTGCTTCTGAACTGTACATATATTGTTTAAATTTGATATAATATGGCTACCGCCACATTTTCGGACGGACGCAGTGGCTGCTGGACTTAGCTTCACTTATTGGCTATTGAGTTGGATACTCTGTGGAGTAATTTAACCCTGGAAGAAACACAAATTCCAGACGTTTTCTCCTAGAATTTTGTCCTTTTTTGCATTGGTTGGGACCCGGAACTAGGAAAGGCGTACAGGAGTGTTTCTATTGGAAACAATTGGGACAGCCACTGTCGAAATAAAATCTACAACAAGGACTTAGTAGACTATAGTGTCTTCTTTCGAAAAGTACATGTTTCCGTAGAGCGGATAATAGCTCAAATTTAAGCTTGCTATGCTTTATCACCAGAAACAGATAACATAAACAAGATCATTACAAAAAAGACAGGAAATATGGACTGTCATTTTCTGAAAGAGTAAGGTGTACGACGATACAAAAAATAAAAGAAGTTCACATAAACAAAGGAACAGAAACACATTAGGTGTTAACAAAAATGTTTCATTATCATTCTAGGTTGTTATGATAATTAGCAATAACCAGCCTCTATATGCTCATTACTAATACCCACAACTGTCCAATTTGTACTCTGCCCGTCACTCATAAACCAGTATTCAGGTCAAAGAGCACTCAGTTAGTGCTGTCGGAAGTAATAAATTCGGAATTCAATTTTCATCTGGAATTATTGTTGTATACTTTTATCACACTTACTCTCCATGTTTTGAAATCTCTCAAAAATTAATTACCGCAACTTATAGTGTTTCTAATTTAACACTCTGAGTTGAAAACTGCAGAATGCACCGTAATTATTGAAACTTAAGTAAGGATGTGTCTCTATACTGCATGTGTGGTCTGATGTTTTATGAAATGTAATCTGCCTAGAAGCATATGAACTGTTAAATGATGCCTCGTTCGTCACCGAAAGAAAATGAGTCTATCAGCAGTCCATAAACGGTCTTACCAGGAGACCACAAAGTGCCTTTCAGTGAATAGAAACATACTTCAATCACACATTCAAACGTTTATCATCGCTAACTGTAGATACGTAAGTGGTGATCTCAATATGCAATCTCTTCTCTGAGATTCATTAATCTATCCTGATTTTGAAATATTTAAAACAAATATGTGTACACAGATAGTCAATAAGCTCACTGAAAAGCTAGCCAACTGGACTTGATTTTTTTGACAGTCGGCTTACATATATTGGATTCACTAGCTGTAAATGAGACCTTACAATCAAGGCTGGGGCAATGATTACAGACTGTTCATGTTTAAGAGTTAGAACAATTTTTTGTCATGGTTAGAGACGAAGCAAACATACAGTGATATTGCGGTATTTCTCCCACATTGGTTCCGTCTTATGTTTTTTAACTTGTTTTCCTTCCACAATCCTTCCGAGCCGTCCTACTACATATAACTATTGGCTTTAGATAACAGTAATAAGAATGGGCAACTATTGAAAAAAGCTTTTGTCATAAAATCATCTTGAAGTTCATGCACTTTACGTTTGCCTTCGCATCATACTGTATATATATCCGATGGTTTGTCCAAAGTTCGTTCCACGGTATTCGATTTAGTGCAAAGGCAATTAGTTTTCTTTTAACCTGCTAACTAACAAACATCTCTTTCATCAAACACATATAGGTTTCATCAACTACTGGCCACTGCTAGTCCAGCGGTTCTTTCCTTCCCTTTCACTTTCAGTGGAACAAGTGGAAAGCGCGGAGCTGAAATTTGGATCGGTTTTAAGTTAGCAAAGAATACAAGTTGTACGTCATATTATTTTCCACATAATTATAACAACTTTAAACTTATAATGCAAGAGCAAAATGAAAATTCATTTGTAAATTTTTGGTATTTGTGCACTAATATTCGACCATATATTTTCAACTACTTTATTTGTCTCCCAAACGTATCTACATAGCATCTCACTTATACAGCCGAACTGATAATTAACAGTCATTCCCGTAAAATAGCGTTGTCTGTAAGAAAATTCTTCCACCCCACGATATAGCTATAAAAAGCCAGCAACGTAGTTGTAGTAGGCCTTTATTTAGGTCTCGTTCAGCAGCACAGGGTAGCGTAGAGTTTACAAATCAAACAAACAGGTGTTCCAAAATTCTTAACCAGAATATATAAAATATGAAGCCTACATAAGAAAAGAAGTTAAATACCCACATTGGATATAATAATAGTGAAATTTACCTTCAACTAACGATGAATCAAATGATGCATGTCAGTCTACACGCAAGATCGATTTGTTACAGATATAATGTTTTAATCCTAACTAGTCTATTCGTCTAGCTCGTATCTACCTAACGTAGGTTTTTGACATCAGCCTCCTCCTAAAATCGATTTCATTTTGAATTTCTATTCCATCCGTTTGGCGAACAAAATCATGCTACTTTGACATTTGAGCTTATTGCTGAAACGAACAGCGACACTTACCACTCAAAAAATTCTCTTACATTTTCTATAGATGGTACAAAGTTTGTTAGTTTACTAACTCATCTCGATAAGAGAGACAGGAGGGCAAGAAAATGAAACACGGATATCTGAGGAAATGCTACGAATGTGTTGCACAACACCTTGTCAGTAAGTTAAGTTTACCTAAACCTTCTCCTGCTACCAAGGGTTTATTCACCTGCCTCTGGAGCCGTCCTCAATGAAAAAGATGGAGAAGGTCCTAACTTAAAGAAAAAATGAATAGAACCAGTCAGACTTGGAGAATCACTTCACTGTGTTTACAAAATAATAAGATGCAAAAGTGAATCATAGAGTTATTAGTAATAACTGTTCAGTTCCATGTCAACGTAATTGAAATCTGGAAGGGAATAAACACTGCATAGAAATCTTGGAAACGAACTTACACTAAAATAGGACGTCACTTAAAAATCAATACCTACATAAACCCGCGAAAGTCTAAATACATCAGTCAACTAAGTTGAATACATGACACTGGGCCTGTGCTGACCTCTTTTTATAACTTGGATTGGACGAATATTTATCGCCTTCAGGTTTTATTGCATTACTCCGTTGTTTGTGACCTCTGTAAACTATGATTGCCCTGCCTTCCAATATGTGATCTCCAATTTTTTCATTAACCTCAGGAGTCAAGTTAAAATCTTCCGATCTTCCTCTGACAGATTTTGTCAACGGTTGCATTAGTTGTGCACAACCGAACATAAATCTGAGGTAAAAGTAAATCAACCGAGAAAAATTCAAAGTTATGCTGAGGAACTTGATATGGTGTAGTTGTTACGTCCAATTTTTTGCTCCTTGATCCTTAGAAGCACTGTGTGTCGATCTATTTGCAATTCACGATCCCAAATCAAAGCCAAACCAAATTCCAAAGTTAGGTACCAAAGTTCAATGTCAATTCACAGATAATCGACCAAAATGTCGTTCGTTTATTACAGATTCCTGGAGCAAAAAACTGCAAACGAACAAACCAAAACAAACAGGAGTCCAAAAATGGCCGAAAATAATAATTCAAACAAGTTCCTAAGTTAAGTAAAGTATTCCCAAAATACAGTGAAATTAATGATATTTATATAAAGGTTTTAATTAGTCAAATGTCTTCATTTCTTCCTTAACAGTAGGTCTTGATGGTCTCTATCCCCTTAGTATTGCTGTAATTCCTGCAAGTTTTCTCGTACGCCTGAGAAATCCAAATGTCTGGTCTCAGGAATCATATTAACTCTCATGTACGTTCATCCTAATTTTATTTAACCCTTCTGAAACAACTTTCACACGCAGTTTACGTCCGGACTGGAAATTAAAAGACCGTCTATATATTCTCGGAAAAAAAGACAGCTCAAAGTAGATTGCCCATTGGTATTAGAAATGCTTGTGCTGCCTTCCTTAGGCCGACCAGCATGCGCACTAATTCCGACAGTCCAAAGGATGTGGTATAATTCTGTATGTTCTGACCAAATCAGTTATAGTAAATGCGTTAATACCCTGTGATCTGTTTATAAAACCTTGGAGATGAGGTATCTGGTACCTAACTGGTAAAGTTTAACGGTTCAGAGCTCTGTAATCTCCAAATGGTCTCTAGTCACCCTAGTTTTTCTTTAGAACCATGTACAGAGGAGACACGCATTGGCTATCGAAGGTTCACATAATACCCAACAATAGCATGTAATCAAGTTCGGCCCTAACTAGTTTAGGCTTATCAGGATCTAGTCATCCGTGCCTATTCAACACAGGTTCATCTTCAGTTTTGATTGTCTGACTAACCTTTAGATTACCTTTAGATAGTTGGGGATTAGACTCAGTCAGATTTTGAAATTCGGTCAGTATATCCTGGAACTTTGTGATCGTTACTGGCGGAGATCGAACCAAATTTATTGAAATAATATGGATCCCCGTGCGTTTTGTGTTTTATGAAGTTTCTTTAAGCGTCGAATTTTGCTTCAGTGTATTGACTAGGAATTCGTATCTCTCTAATAATTCCCGATAAACGGTTTAAAGGTGTGTTCAGCTTTTGTTTATTGGAACACTGTTTATATACATCCTTGTTTCTTGATTGCTGTCACCAACGAAGGCTTGAAGGTAGTGCAGTGACTGAGATAGAGACCTTTAAGCTACCATCTCCCTTCAGGAAAAGCCTTTAGATTCTTTGACTGTCAAATAAGGATAGACGATTCATAATCTCACGTTTTGAAATGGTGTACGGTTGTGGCGTGGAGAGATTCAAAATTAAATCACAGAATTCTAAGGCAGCTAAAGGAGAGTTTGCGACTCTGGGTTGGTGCAATCAGATTCTAGAAGTCATAGCAATTTCTGTTTTTATGGGTGAAAAATCACACTTATTTTCCTAGCGTTCAATACGTATTAAGTCCAGCATTTTTTGGTTTATTGTAAAAAATTCAGTTGAGCATAGATGGAGAAACAGTAATTCCAACTCAAAATATGTATGATAAAAAACAGTATTGAATGCGCTCAAGGATTTATTTCAGGAAACATAAATAACAATTTGAGTGAAAATGAGAACTTTTCAATGTTGAGCCATAAATTGTACCCACAGAAAGCCTCCATAAAAGCCCGAACAATAAAGGGATGGTAGCCAACGCAAATGCGACTCTTCATTTTGTGCGAAGACAACTTGGTGCCATCACCCAACAATTATTCCTAACTTTATTTAAGACAAACGCGTGCCTACACTTTGAGGTTCACGTTATCTCACCTCCTCTCCTTAAAAAGACTAATCTCTTGAATAGAGTGCAGAGACGAGCAACGAAATGGGTGACAAGTTTGAAGAACAAACTTTACGAAGATAGACTCCAGTACATGGGATTATTCCCACTGAGTTACAGGAAAATCAGGTGAGAATGGCGTATAACATATTAGACACTCCAAACCATCCCAACGTGAGCATCTTACCGATGCATCACATCTACTCCCCTTGAGGTAATCCACGAAACATTGCGCATCGAAGAGCGAATACTCAGGTTCGTGTAAATGTTTTCTAATTGAAGGCCATTACACCTTGGAATGCTCTGCCAGTGGAGATGACCACATCCCCCTCAGTGGACAGCTTTAAGAAGAGACTTGATTAACACGTACTCACATGCGGATTGTCATCTCTCTCGTGGACAAGCTGTACATGATGCATGCCTTGAGACTTGCTGGTCGTCATTATTGCAATCTCCTCAGATCATTCAATTAATCTATCTCGCCTATTTTTCCTATTTCCTCTCCCTTGCTTACACTTCGGTCCTCTCTCACAATCTTCACTACCAACTAATAAACTAAATAATCTACTGATTTTCTTAGTTCTGAAACCTTATTCATATTAGCAATTGAATTTTCTCCTTTTTATTCCCCACTTTGCAAGTAAATGATATCCGGCCTGGTAGCGTGATAGCTGCTGGTGTCCAGAAACCCTACTACCCTGAAACAAACGTACTCATTCAAATCACGGGACATACAAACTCGCAAACAACTGCAAACTAACTGGAATTAGACAATGGAGTAGCTAGACCCCCATTCATGAGACACTATCAAATGCCTGAAACCATGAAGAAAGAACAAAAATCGAGTGCAAAGAAATCAATTGGTTCATACTAGCTCGGGAAGAAGATATTAAATATTGGACATTGGATATTGTCATTGAACGGCTCCCGCTAGCTTTGTTCGGATTAAGGTTGTTGTGGTTGTCAGGATTGTCATGTTTTAGAATTCCGTTTGATATTTTTATCTAGTCTCTGGTACTTTTTGTCGACTAAACTACGTACATATAATAATATCGTTTTTCTTACTATTTCCGTTTTGTCATTTTTGTTTGATTCTAATTAGTTTATTACTGATAACTTCAAACTGTGTTATGTAAAGCGGTAACAAAGTAGGTTTCTCTGTCAAACCAAATTTTACAGTGCTTCGGGAGGAACATGGAAAATTCTTTAGCAAGTATTTATATACTCTGAAGCATATGTTAGTTACCTGGTCTTAAGCAATCTAAACTAGATTGAAAGATTTGACTTTGAACGTCAAAGGGCTGTTTAGCCGTCTTAATTGTCGTGTGGATCTATATGCAATAATAACCTCAAGAGTAAAACAAACTTTCAAAATAACTTTTAATTCACAGTCATCTCAAAGCAAATTCAGACGATAACATGTCAGAATGTTACCAATTTCTTCCCATAGGAGAATGTAGCTGGATGTGTCGTGTAAATGCCTCACTGCAGGAGGAAATGTCTTGTAATCAGCACCTTAACCTACCTTCACACCAAGTGGTTACACGCAAATTGCATGTTTCCCCCTTAAGTAACACCAAGCAGTCTAGTTTTCCGACACATTTGCGCTGAATATTCCACTTTCACCTACATACTTTTGATCCTAGACTTTAACAAACTTTTCTACACAACATACATAGGTTAAACAAATGAATTATGTGCGAAAAATTGCTGTTCTACCGGAATCTTACCTACAGTCCTCATAAACATTAATACTCAAGATACCAATGACATATCTACGTCTACGTTAACAAGCATAACTCTCGGTGGAAATCTGATTAGATATGAAAGCTACTAGTCCTTGTGGTGGTTTTATATAAATTGTAACTAAAATGAAAAGTAGTGATTGCAGGTGACTCGACATTCCACTCACTGTCTCAAAAAAATTTAGCTATCAGAAGCATGACTAACCTATAGGGTTGAAATATATTAACAATTGGTTTGTGATAAGTATATCATGTTTCAAGTCCTTAGCACTGATCAAATTCCATTAATCCTATTGCAGTTCGGTCACTAGGCTAAGTCGCTTTACATGACGTGCACTGTATTAAAATGTAATGTAGTAGGGATTAACAAAATCTATCTAAAATAGCTACCGATTTGTGCATACTTTCACCAGCAAAACTTTGCTGCAACTTACTAGACCCAAATGAAAACTTACTGTATGTGTGAAAAACATTTTATTTGAAAATGTGAATAATATAACTAATGGCAATAATATAAACGCTAGTATTACAGGTTTTCCGATTGTCAGCAAGCAGTATTCATATCAAACAATGAACAGTGTTTCATACGGTGTTCTAAAATTATTACGGCCGTGTGTGACCGGTCTGAAGCAGTTGTCCTTTGCGCTCTGCGGTCACGCTTCCAGGTCGTTAAGATCAACACTAATCTACTTTCCTTCCCAGGTTCCTCAAGGAACACTCTTCCACGGTGTGGGCAGCCGGGAAATGACAACCTCCCTCATACCCGTAACAGCCCACAAGATCAGAGTGGTCACAATCGAATCCTTCCTACACCCCTTAATATCTCTCTCATCTCCACGACTAACTCTTCTCACATTCCTTTATCACGCCGTACTACTAATGCAAACCATTCGAGTTCACGAAACGTTATTCCTGGTCTCCTGAAACCTCGTTGTAAATAACATGTTCGGACATTGTGTCAAATAGGGCAGCAGACTTCCCTAGCTAGGGCTTTAAGTCCTAGGGCAGAATTAGCTCTCTTAGACTGGATCCCAGTAAATAGTCGCTTGTGTGCTGTCCGAGTAAATGGGACAGTAGGGAGTCAGAAAGATAGGAAAACTCTCCGTCGTATCTGCCTACGCTCCGACTGACTGAAGTTCAAACAAGGTGAAAGATGAGTTCTACAGAAAGCTTTCGAACCTCCTTGAAAAAGTTAGGCGCTCTGACGTAGTAATAATGACTGGTGACTTCGATGCTCAAGTAGGTAGGTGGATAGATCTTACGGTGTCGCGGCTAAGAGAACAAATAATGGTGGCCGTCTGTTGCAAGTATGCTCAGATAACCGCCTATTTCTAGCAAACACTAACTTTAGGCACAGAAAAAACACCTTTTGATCTGGCGACCCCTGAAGTCGTCTCAACGTTGGACCCAACTAGATCACATCGTCATGAGCCACCGATGTAGGGGTTCGATAGAGGACTGTCTCCCGTTCTGGGGTACATGTTTAGATTCAGGTAATGCTCTAGTGCGTATTAGTTCGAGGCTTACTGGACGTAGGAAAGACACCGTACGAAAGCCTCTTAGGGTCTTACTTAATGATAATAAGGCGAAGAATATATTTCAAGAGCGACTAGCAAAACAGTTAGGCAGTCATGTAGTAAGTGATGCCAATCTCGAGATAGCTGGGAATGATATCCAAAAAGGCTGTGTAAGCAGCAGTGATATCTGCTTGAAAGGTAAACTAAAAGGCTAGGAAGAAGTGGATCTCAGTGGCATCCACCGAACTGATATACGCTCGTAAACTCATCCCACCTGGCACTGAACATGACTAATAGCGAAGTCAGCTTAGGCGCAGGCTGATAAAAAGCCTACTCAATGGTTGTGAACAGTGATGGTGGCGAAGGCGAGAGAGATGGAAAAGGCAGCAGCGATAGGCAACTATTCAGGCTCATCAAGTAAAATGGTATTAGAAATGCATCTGTCAGCAAATTTATCACAGAAAATGATGGTCTTGCTATTCATTCTCAACACAGTAGATCGGATCGATTGGCAGAACACTTAAGTGATCAGTTCAACTGGCCTTCATTTATCCACGACCTAAAGCGGTGTCTGTCATTGAAACTGTACCAAAGAAGTACATTAACCTCATACAAGCTCTCTACTCGAACACTACAGGTCGAGTTAAAGCTTATGGCGAACTGTCATGGGAATTCTTTACTTCAAGTGGTGTCCGCCAGGTATGTCCACTTTCCCCATTCATGTTCAATTTTGTCATGGACATGCTGCTAGGTATAACATTATCTTCGTCTGATTTTTCAGGAGTAGAACTTCTACCAGGAGGCTCGCTTATTGGCTAAGAATATGCCGATGACATAGTTATATTTGGTAAAGACGCTAACAAAATGTAATCTTCTGACTACCCTAAGCAACAATACAAGCATGTTCGGGATGCGGTTTTCCACCTCGAAATGCAAAATGTTGCTTCAAGATTGGCTTGCGGCTTCACTGGAACTAGTGATAGGGAGTGAAATAGTCGAACGTGTAGATCGATTCACTTATCTCGGAAGTCCCATCAGTGCTGATGGTCTGGTGACTGACGAAATCTCAGCACGGATACAGAAGGCTCGGTTGACTTTTGCCATCTTGCGTCACCTATGGCGCAGGGGAGATATGCGTTTGCTAGTCGAAGGACGAGTGTACTGCGCAGCAGTTCGCTCGGTCCAACATTATGGATGCGAAGCATGGCTGGTAAGAGTAGAGGACATCCGCAGGTTATTAGTCTTCGATCATAGATGTTTTCGAAGCATTGCTCGTGTATCGTGGGATAGCCGAGTAAGCGATGCTGTAGTTAAGAAAAGCATACTAGTAAGGTAGTGAATCTTCATCATTTGAGATTGTTGGGACGTGTTTTTTATGCCCAACCACCGACTGCCGCGACGAGCTAGGACTAGGTTGTAAGAAGGCTAGGGGCAGCCAAACCAAAACATAGCACAAACCCATGAAGTCACTGACAAATGGACTGAGCCGTGTTTGTAGATGCAGGCTACATGGTCGAGATGAAAGTAACCGATAGTTAGAGACCTTGAATGACATGACTGAAAATCGTTTGTAACGGCACAGGTGTATCCGTTCTTTGTGTTCTCTCAAGTTTTAATTATTTAAATTCTTCATCACATTTATCCTTCTCTTTTCAAACTTACTTCACTTGATTAAACTTTTTGAATGATATGTTCGAACTCTAGTTTTCTCCATTACCGCTAATATTTCTGCTACTTTGGGATTTGAATTGGCAATCACATCTCTGTTCTGATGTGGTATGGCAACTTGAAGTGATGCACGTACGTACCAAGTTCTTTGTTGTAGCTAACTAACGGACTGATTACTTTTGCTCTTATGGTTTTCATTTTCCCCTCTCTGTTTATCTTCTATCGGTTTTGGTGCGAAATATGACAAATTAGTACCATATTTTAACTTGTTAATGTATGGCTATCTGCAACACTCGCAATATTATACTAACGATTACGCAACGTTTTGTCATGTATTTGAACGGCTGCATAGTAAATTTATTCTGACTTAAATTAGCCTGTCATGTTCGAACAAACAAAACAGTAACCATTATAAAAAGGCTAGGTTACTTCATAGCCGCTACATCTTTAACTCATGTGCTTTCCTTGAGATCAGAAATAGTGAAATTGTACACACTGTAGTGACATTTGTTATGGACTAAGGCTCACCAACAGAATAGGTGAAACCATTATAATCTTAAGGGAAGTAAAATTCCGTACAGCTTAATGTAGATTCTCCTAAAGCTGGTTATTTGAAGGTGAACATAAAGGACATGGGTCTTTTGAACATTAACAGAACCAGTTGAATGGTATATGTCCACTTCTGAGTGCTTTCATGTGTAGAATAAGTGGGCTCTGTGAATTAGTGGAATCAATCTAATGCACCTTCGTTGTGGAACCCCTGAAAAAATTATAAGTTAATTAATTTATCCTGTGTTCAACAATTATATTCATATCAGTATTGTAAAAACCATTATTTTTAAAAAGTATTCACTTACATCATAAGTAACTTTATCTCACTTCATGACCCTGTTACCCATTCTTTATTTTATTTTCACGCTAATTTTAAATAATAAACAACAAATTTCTTTATTTTGATTAATAATAACATTTTAAAGGATTTTGTATATGCTTTTGATATTTTTTTATGGTTTGCATAGGTCAACATGTTGGACGACTCAGAAACTTATAAATTATGGCGGATTCGTAAAACTATTCTCAAAGTAATTTTACTAGTTAGACCTTTTTACCACTCTCTGTTTAGATGTGCAAAGATAGGGGTTATCTAGTTATGCCAAAAGAATTAGAGCAATCACTTGAAGATTTCAAAGCAACGGTCGGGGATCCACCAACGAGGAAGGATCTTCTCATGGTTGTTAACCACGAAGAGGATCCTGCTGACATGTTGTATGTATTCTTTCCAGAGGAAGAAAAGGTTAACATGAAGACTGTCCGAGCATATTTGAATCAAATGCAACAAGATAGTACTTACAGAGCAATCTTGGTTCTTCAAGAGAAAGGCCTTACACCTTCTGCAAAAACAGTTTGTTCTCTATTATACTAAATTTTTTTTTACAATTGTAGGCTATTGCAGAACTTTCATGTAAATACACTCTGGAGTGTTTCTTTGAAAATGAACTAATGGTCAATATAACAGAACATCAGTTGGTTCCTCAACACAATGTTCTCACACAGGAAGAAAAAAAAGAGTTGCTCGAAAGATAGTAATTTAGTATTTTATATAATTTATTGAAAACTTAATTTTAGTCGGTTAAAGGAAAATCAACTCCCCAAAATGCAAGCTAGCGACCCTGTTGCCCGATACTATGGTCTAAGAAGAGGTCAAGTTGTACGAATTACTCGACCATCAGAAACAGCCGGACGATACATCACCTATAGGATAGTTTTGTGAATAAAACTGTGTACAAATTCTGAATTTTCTGAATTGTATTTCCGGTCTAAGATTCGATGAATCCAACTAATTCAAATTTACCAGTGTATTGTTACTCCTATCATGTGATACTAAATGAGCGAACATTGCTTCGATGATATTCTCTTTTGTTGTCTAGATTCTTATAGCCAGAAAGCATTTATGTTATATTTGTAAAGCTTCTAGCTATAGATGTCATACACTGAAAACTAAAAAACCTTTCAAGTTATTTGATATTTTAAGTGACGCTAATAATTCACCATACAAGCTGGGTTATGATGGACAGAAGTGAATATGATGATTGTTTTTATTTGATTTCCATTTTCGTCCTTGATTATTTGTTTGTTAGCTGATAAGTTTCTCATAGTCACGCTTTAGCAAACTATTCTGTATCCAACCAATAACTGATATCTTAATGTGTCTCATCACATAATGAGTGGTGATTATGATTCAAGGTTTCCTCTTGTGAGCAAACTGTCAATCCGGTCATTTCATTTGTGTATAACAAAATCTACCCGGACAGTCGCTTATCGGTTAATGCATATAGCTCCCAATTATCATATCGTAAGTTCGAGCCCTATTCTATATACTTTGCTCCTAGCCAAGTCAGTTAGTCAGTCAGTTGCAACGTAGAACTTCGTACGTATGTACATAAGTTCAGGTTGCCATACCATATTAGCACAGAGATGCAAATGTCAAATCAAATCCCATAGTGATAGAGATAGTAGAGGTATTAATGGTAATGAAGAAGGCTAGGGTTCGAAGATATTATTCAGGAAGTACAATTCAGTGAGATAAGGTTAAAAAGACAAAGGTAGAGGTGCTGACGAGTCCAGAAGATTAGGATATGAGAGAGCACAAAGAATGGATGCACTTGCGCCATTGCAAACTATTTTGAGCCATGTCGTTCAAGGTCTCTAACCATTGGTGACTTTCGTCTCGCGGACCCCAACCACGTAGCCTACATCTACCAACATGACTCAGTCCACTTGTCAGAGACTTCATTGATTTCTGCCATGTTTTAGTCTGGCCGCCCCTAGCTTTCTTCCAACTTACTCCTACACCACAAAACATAGCTCGTCGATGCAGTCAGTGGTTAGGCATGCGTAACACATGTCCCAACCACCTCAACTGATGAAGTTTCAATACTTCATCTATTGATTTGCCATCCTTACCTAGAAATCGTATCCTAACGATAGCATTGCTTACTCGGTCGTCCCAGGATACGACCAATGCTTCGGGTACACTGATAATCGAAGACTAGTAACCTGCGTACATTTACTCTTAACGGCCATGTTTCGCATCCATATAGGGGAACGGAGCGAACTGCTGCACAGCACTCCCGTCCTTCGGTTAGCGAACGGATATCTCGCCTACGCCATAAACGGCGTAAATTGGCAAAAGCAAATCGAGCTTTCTGTATCCGTGCTGAGATTTCGTCAGTCACCAGGATATCAGCGCTGATGAGACTCCCCAGATAAGTGAAGTGGTCAACACGCTCGACTACTTCACTCCCTATCACTAGTTCCGGTGCCGATGCAACCCAATTTTGAAGCAACATTTTGCATTTCGGGGGGGGGTGGATTCGCATCCCGAACATGCTTGCATTGTTGCTTAGGGTAGTCAGAAGATTACATTTTGTCAGCGTCTTCACCAAATATAACTATATCATCGGCATATTCTAGGTCAGTAAGCGATTTTCCTTGTAGAAGGTCAACCCCTGAACAATCTGACGAGCTTAATAATAACTCTAAGAGGATGTCTACGACAAAATTGAACAAGAATGGGGAAAGTGGACAGCCCTGACGGACACCACTTGAAGTAGAGCATTCCGATGACAGTTCGCCATAAGCTCTCACTCGACCAGTATTGTTTAAGTAGAAAGCTTGTATAAGGTTGATGTACTTCTTTCGTACACCTTTCAATGACAGACACTGCCACAGAACCTCACGATCCACTGAGTCGGATGCCGCTTTTTGGTCCAGGAGTACAACTATTGTCGGACGTCTGAATGTGTGTCTGTGTTCCAGGAACTGTTGAAATGTGAAAATGTGGTCTATACAACCACGTCCAGGTCGAAAACGAGATTGGTTTTCTCGAGTCTGCTCTTCACGAGCTTTCGTTAAGCGTCGAAGTATTATTGAGGCTAACAATTTAGAAACTATATTAGTTACACTTATTCCCTTGTGATTGTCGCAAGAAGACTTTTTTCCTTTCTTGTAGATTGGGACAATTAGCGACTGAGACCAGTCAGATGGGATTACGTCCAGTTCCCAGATTCTACCTAGTATCTCGGTCAGTCTAACTGTTAAAATTGGACCACCATTCTTAAACATCTCAGGGATAAGCCTATCAGGACCTGCTTCTCTACCCCGCTTTAGATTTCCTATAGCTTTCTCAACTTCATGTAGACTAGGAGGACTTAAATCGATTTGCCATTCAGGATCACTGGAGCTCGTAGGTAACCGAAGAGTGGCTCGTGGCCAGTTGAACTGATCCCTAAAGTGTTCTGCCCATCGATCCAGTCTCCTGGATTGAGAATGGATAATTAGACCATCCTTTTCCGAGATAGTCTCACTCACATTCGGGTTCTTAATATCAGTTTCTTTAATAAGGCGGAAAAGTTGTCTACTGTTGCCGATTGCCGCTGCCTTTTCCATCGCTTTTGCTTTCGCCACCCACCACTGTTCGTGGTCGTTACGCAGACTTTATAAGTCTGCGCCTAAGCTGACTACGCTCTTCATCATGCTCAGAGTCAGGTGGGATGCGTTTTCGAGCATCCATCAGTTCGGTGGATGCGACTGAAATCCACGGCTTCATCCTAGCCTTGTGGTTTACCTTCCTAGAAGATATTACTGCCGTTTCCACGGCCTTTTTGATATCGTACTAAGCCGCCCCCGAGTTGGAATCACTTACATTGCCACCCAACTGTTTTTCTAGTTGTTCCTAAAATAAATTCTTAGCTGTGCTATCATTAAGTAGAACCCTGAGAGGTTACCTTGCGGTGTCTTTCCCACGTCCAGTAAGTCGCAAACAAATACGCACTCGCACTAAAGCATGATCTGAATCTAAACGTGTGCCTCAGGACGAGCGACAGTCCTCTATCGAACCCCTCCATCGGTGGCTAATGACGATGTGATCTAGTTGGGTCCAACGTTGAGACGACTTTGGGGGTCACCAGGTTAAGAGATGTTTTTCCTTGTGCTTAAAGTTAGTGTTTGCTAGAAATAGGCGGTTACCTGATCATAGTTGCAACAGACGGTTGCCATTGTCTGTTCTATTAGCCGCGACACCATAACATCCACCAAGGTGTCTCTCCTGCTCACTCGGTCTACCTACTTGAGCATTGAAGTCACCAACGATTGTAACCATATCAGAGCGCTTAACTTTTTGAAGGAGCTCCGAATGCTTTCTGTAAAACTCATATTTTACATCGTCTGAACTGCAGTCAGTGGGAGCGTAGGCTGATATGATGAAGAGGCAACGACGGGTGTCCCTATCCTTCCGAATCCTTACTGTCCCGTTTAGTCGGACGGCGAACAAGCGAATTTCTGCTGGGATCTCGTCTAGGAGAGCTAGTTCTGCCCTAGGACTCAGTGCTATACCTACACCAGCGAGACCCCAGGAAGCAGCATCAGGGCTACCGGATACACGAAGGGTAAATCGAGTTGCTTCTTTATCTTGATATTCTGAGGTCAAGTGAATGGTGCTACTCGGATCCTGTATGCGCGTTTCGGAGACGCAGCGCACATCGATTGAGCGAGGTTCTAATGTCGCAGCTAATGATGCCTGTTACCCCATTCGACACAATGTCCGTACATTAAATGCTCCAACATGTAGTTTAGAGCGGGGCTTCAAGAGACCAGGAATAACGTTTCGAGGACTCGAATCATTTGCATTAGCAGTATGGCTTGATAAAGGTATGTGAAAAGAGTTAGTCGTTGAGATAAGAGAGATGTTAGGGATGTAGGAAGGATTTGATTATGACCACTTTGGTCTCGTGTGCTGTTACGGGTATGAGGGCGGTTGTCTCTTCCCGGCTGCCCACACCGTGGAAGGTTGTTTCTTGAGGGACCTGAAAAAGAAGGTAGATTAGCGTTGGTATTAACGACCTAGGAGCGTGACCGCAGAGCCCAAGGGGCAGCTGCTTGAGGCCGATCACACACGGCCTTTTTATGGGTAGTGTTTAAAGTGTTTGCCCCGTTCTTGTCTAAAAAACCTTACCGCTGGAGACGGAAATCTGTGAGGTAAGGTGAGGTGTGACATTTTTAGGGTTGACCTTTTCTAACCCTTCCTTCCTTGTGAGAAGGCAGCATCGCTGCAGATGCTGGTTGTCCGAGGGAAACACCTTATTGCTGTCACACCCCTCAACACTCAGCAATACGACTTCACCCTCAGACCTTGAGTAGCTGCTTTTAGTCTTATGGTTCTCCAATCGACCTGCCTGTCACGGTAGAACCTTCAGGAACATATGTTCCAGCCAATATAGCTTGGTTGGGTCATCACGATAGGTAAGCCCGACCACCACGTCAAGGTAACAGCTATGGTCGGGGTCCTGCCCAAGAGGCATTATCAATATAAACAGAATGATTCATGGTTGAGTACACAGTAGTCTTATTATAAATTTACTATTCTAGGGATAGTTATCTTAATCATACATCTGAAAGCTTTCTTTATAGAGAAGCTTTAAATCCGTCCTACTAAAAATTTCATCTGTGTCCCCTGTAAGTATTACTAAAATGCCTTTTACCTTCCATAAGTTGTTAATTTATTACGGACTTATCATTCAGTCCTCTTTCATTTATAACGTAGTTGTGCCCATATGGTATTTTTTTTTAGTTCTGTTGATGTGAGGTTAGAAGTTCGCTCTGTATTGTCTTATGAATTATTTATAAATTTGAGCTGTATAGACGTTACATACTGAGTTGTTCTTTATTTTGGCTATCGGCAACTAAGCATGGGAAACTGCAATCTGAACCAGTAGTCAATTAGTGTTACTGTTGGCTATCCCCTCACATTTGAATGTTATTGGTTAGCCAGATATCATTGGTACTAGATAAAGTCTAGGTGAACTAATCAATAATGTGGTTAGATCAATATAACCACTTTCCGGCCTTATGGTCCGATTCTTTAAGTACAAATAACTAAACAAGGGAATCTGTTTATTTTGAACCGGCACATCTGTATCGTGAAGCGGTCTCAAGTTACTGCTGCAATATACTTTTCAAAGTTATGCCATGAGATAGGCGCACGCCTCAGTCAATAGATAATCGCACAATATCATGAATTGTTTGGAGCTAGATATGTATACCACTGGGTTTGGGTTCAGTTGTCTAAAGTTTGTTTTTGCCGCGAGACCGGACATCCTGGGTTTCTTCCCGGTTAAGTTTTAGGTCTGCAATGCTTAGTGGCTCCG